CAACGAGCTTATCACCGCCGAGCATGTCGACCTCGAGGACCTGTATAGCATACGTCAGTTTGCAACGAAATGGGTCGACAACGCACCGCCACGGCGTCTCGACACAATCGTCCTCTGTGCGAACACAATGACACCACCAGGAGGCAAGGCAACGCAGACTGAAGATGGGCTGGAGGCTACTTGGGGGCTGAATTACATGGCCAACTTCCACCTGTTGAGCATACTCAGCCCAGCACTACGTGCTCAACCTCCCGATCGAGACGTTCGAATCATCTTCGGTACATGCCCGGCATACGTGGGCGGAAAGTTGCCAGGTGTCGACACAAAAGCAAATAAAGACGGAAAGAGCGATCCTGGACAACTCGACTTCACACCCTCCACCGTATACGCAACCTCCAAGCTCGCCCTCATGACCTTCGCCGTAGCCTTCCAGAAGCATCTCTCAAACTACGTCCGCCCCGACAAGCAACCCATGAACGCACGCGTAATCATGGTCGATCCGGGCTGGACACGAACACCCGGCATGCGGCGATACCTTACCTTCGGCTCGCTGTGGGGACTGGCAATATACCTCATCACATGGCCGTTGTGGTGGTTGATACTGAAGAGCCCTGACCAAGGTGCACAAACTTTCCTATACGCGGCTATGGAGGCACAGTGGGGTCGTGGAGAAGGGGCATACTTCCTCAAGGAATGTAGGAGAAAGATATGGACCAGGAAGGAGATCGATGATGAGCTGCTGCAGAAGAAGCTGTGGGAGAGCAGTGAGAAGACCATCGAGATCCTTGAGAAAGAGAGTGCAAAGAAGAGGGCGGCTGAGAAGAAGCAGAAGGAAAAGTCTGAGGGCAAGAGCACTGCAAAGGCGGCGAACGGTGATGCTAAGCAACGGAAGTAGAGACTTGCGCGGCATACCCATCAAACCTCACAACGTTCCTATAGCCTCCGATAGAACATACAGACATTTTTGCTCAAGATTCTCCAACGAGATCGAGAATGAAGTTTACGGAGCACGCTGGAAAGAGTGTGATCTCGTGAGTCGGTCCATGTTTGCTCACAACCAGCAAAGCAATCTGCGACCATATATCTAGACCCGCGCCAACCAACACTAGCGACAACGTCTCAGCAATGTCTACTCATCAGTTGTTCGGTCTCGATAAACCGCATCTTCCAGACGAGCTGGTGCTAGTCATCCTTAAGTATGTATGTCCTGAATACTTTCACTGGTTTCGTCTTTACCGAGTAAACACAGAATGGCGTAACTACATTCTGGACACGAGCCCTATTCGCAAGTTGATGTTTCTCCCAAATGTCTCAAGTACTGGAAACCCGATCATACTATCATCTTCGCTGGAGCCAAACGAAGCGGTAATGCACATCCACTGGGCCCTTCCAAATAGGCTCTGGATGGAATGTGGTGGGGGGAATGTCCTTCAAAAGTACCTCGGAGGTAAGATGGCTCCTCCATGGCCTAGCGTGACCATGCATCCACTCCTCGAAGAGTCACTCACTCGACTTCGCATTCATGGGATGGAGTGGAAATCCACCCGCTACTCGACATGTTCCGTACGTATCGCATACCACACCACAGTAGTACGGAGAGGCAACCGGTCGACCTTACCATCAGCTACCAGCTACTGAAGCACTGTAAGAAGCCTCACGTTAACAGGAGCTGCGCAACATGGCGCGCCATGTTCGCCACCCAACCTCCAGTCATGCGCTTGACCGTTACTCTGGAGACTGAGGAGTGCTCTACCGAGGGCCTCCGCACTCTTCACACCAAATTCCCTATTCACGGTGAAAGCGGAGTAACGCTTGGGGACGTCATCGACATCTTATCGCACCCTCAACTCATGCGAAACATCGGTCTTGTGCCCGACGATCGCGGGTGCCGTGGCTATAGGCTGTTGCCATATTACGAGTGGAACGTCTGTCATTGTTATCATAGTACCAATTTTCAGGAGGTATATTATAGGGTGCAGATAGCTGTGGCCCAAGGAAGGAGTTTGGCAGAGGTGCGTAGTATACGCACGAAGGGAATATCAGAGAATGAGCATGGTAAATTTCAGTGCCGGATATTTCCTGGGGATGAGGAGTAGCAAGACGGCTCGCGATAAGGGCATTGATTGCTCCGGTTTGTAAAACTATGTGCTTTCACAATCGTATTTGGTTGCAGCATTGCGCGAACGATACCCGAGGTCGTCTTGTCTTCCTCTCCTACGCTATACGGAGACAGTTCGAGAAGCATGCAAGAACGCTAAGCCTTCACGGCCGTATCTTGCTCCAGTACATCTCAGTGAAAGCAACTTCAGCGTAGCTACCAGTGAAGTAACAGCACCAGCGGACGATGCCATCACAATACCACGCATAATATCACACAGCGCTCATACACTTCCGTCTCTCATTGTTCATTCTCTTCCCAGCTTGTCAAACCTAGAGACAAACATCGTACCAACTCAACCCCACACCCAACGCTGAGTAACCTCCATCCTTCCCTACTGAAATCATTCCATCCAGGCAGTCGGAAATATGTCGCTTCTATCCCATCTCCCAAAATCCATGTCAGGCTGTATTCCCAGGATCACACACCACTTCTGGCTATCTAAATCACTCCTCCATACTCCACTCAAACGACCAAACCCCCCTCCATCAACCCCGCCCCCACCGCCTCCATTTCCATTTCTTCCAGGAACACCCATAATCAACCGTTTCCAGAACCCCATCCGCGCCAAGATAGCAACGTCCAGCATGCGCCCAGTTCTCGCAGCTGGTGCACTGGCTCTTGCTGCCGGTGGTACGGTAGTTGCACAGACAGAAGTGCTTTATATATCGAGAGCAAGGGAGGGGCAAGTGTGGTTTGAGAAGAATAAAGATAGTTTTGCGTTGATGGCGGCAGAGAAGAGGGTTGTGCTGGAGAAGGGGGAGGATGGGAGGTGGAGGGCGAGGGTAAATCAGGGGGAGGGGAGTGAGGGGAAGTGATTGATATGGAGCTCAGTGACAAGGCGTATCACATAAGACATGTGTAGGTCGTAACAGCTTTCTGGAAATGAGCCAGAAGCTCCATATCTAGGTTTTGGTATCATCCTCTTTCTCCACACTGGGCGTCGCTCCAGCATCAGGCGTCTCTCCAGCACTTGCCACCTCCTCCCCAGCCCTAGCATCCATCTTCATCCTTATAAACTCCTTCTTCATACTCTCAAACTCCTTGAACCCCTGAAAGTACTTCCTCCTAAAATCGTTCAACTCACTAGCCCTAGTCCCCTTCTCATATTCCCTCCTCACAGCCTCCGCCGCCCCCTCAGGCACCTCCTCCTCCCTACGCCGCCGATACGTCAGCAGTCTGCGTGACCACTTGTTAAACGCCTGGACGCAAACCGACGTCAGTTCGAGACAAGGATGGCTCGGGATGATGAGCTCAATGTCCTCGTCATTCGCCGTGGGCATCCACATGCTGATTCGGCCGTCGGGGACTAGTGTTGCGACTGCAAAGGCTAGTATGTCATCGAGCAGTGCGGTGAAGGAGTAGGGCCGCTTCGGGGGTATGTACCCGGGTTCTTTGAATTGGTCTTGGTGCGATTGGCGTTCTACGTCGAGCAGCGCTTGCCGGGATCCTAGCACTTTGAGGCCTTCGCGGATGCCGTAGGGTGGGTCGCATACGATGCCGTCGAGGTAGCCTGTCGTGCGGTCTTTGCTGGGTGGCGGTATTCTCAGTGGGGTATTGGTGAGGTCGGAGACGAAGGCGCCGAGGTAGCTCGACTCTAAGTCGTACTGCTTGAAGTTACCGACGACGTCGTACTTCCCTGTCTGTCCCCTTCTTGCGCTGCCTCCTAGGCCGCGGATAGTGCGCCCGTCAATGTCACTCCCAAACACCACTGCTCCGAAGTGAGCGCATGCTATCGGGAAGCCGCCCGTGCCCATGAAAGGGTCGTAAAACAACTTCCCCGGTGCCACGTGTGCGATGTTAGCCGTCAGCAGCGTGAGCTCGGCGTCCATCGATGTAGTGCTGATGTAATGTCTCTTCTTGAGATCAAATGTCTTCTTGGCTTCGTTCCGACACGAATCGGCGATGAAGCGACCAAAGTAAATGTACTTTGGCTTCTTAACATTAAGATCGTAGTCTTCAAAGACACGGAACGCGACGTCTGGGTTTCGCATCCGCGGTGGTCCCTTGAAGGCCATGTAGGAGAAGCTGTCGATGATGTCGCGCTGCTCATCGTTTGATCTACTTCCGCGATAGCCTTCTATGGTAAAGCGGAAAGATGCCGTAATGTACTGCGGCCACCAGGATGTGGTCAGACTGCGGACAGAGTCGTGGAGGGCGTCGTATGTTGATCCCTGGCCCCATAGCTCGTAGATGCCCTGTGCGAGGATGTTCCGTGCGATGGCTTTTCGTGCCGCAGCCTCTGACGGCAGATCGACAATGCAGTAGGGTGACTTTGATCGTCAGAAATGTATGCTTTTGTAAGGCGTGACGCGACACCGGGATTGCTTTTTCGGGATCTGAACCAAAACAACACTGCGAGAGACGCGACTGATGAAGTTGAGACTGGAAGACTGCTCGGTGCAACAAAAATGTACTTACATCTTCTTCATATTTGACAAACTGCAAAGGCACTCCAGCAATATCGGCTAGCGCTTGCAGTTCGACTTTCCGAAAACTCTCATGCGCTTGCGCAAGCCGGACGAGATACTGAGGCATGTTGTTGTTTGATCAGAGAGATTCCAGGCTAGCAGAACCCTTCCGTGTACTACGCGTCTCAGTCAGGTATCGGCATGGCAGCCGACGATCACCGCGTCGACGCTTTTATCAGTGGTAGTCCCTTTGCGTCGGAGTCACGGACCAGCAAAATGGGGCACGAAAAATGGTGGGTCAGGGTCCTCATTCTTCATTGGCTGCCGACGACGTCGCTTAAAGTTTAAACTACATCTTTCTCCCAACCTCGCCCCGCCTCGCATGCATCCCGATTCCGATCTTCAAGTCGACTACAAGACGCAGGGTAAGACTAGTCTACCACACTGTCTCTACGCTTCCGCTCGATGAATTCTACGTCCGCTTGCGCTTCTGTCATGTTGCACACGAGATTCTCCACTAGCTCTTCTTTTGTCGTGAAGCCTTCGATCCACCAATCCCGGAACTTCATCAACTCACCAACCCATGCGTCCCAGAGGTAATACCGGCCGTCGTTGTCCCGTAGTATGAATTCATCGCCTTTGGTTTCTTTGACCACTGGACAGAGACCCTCAATGTTGTAGTCTTTTGCAACATTCGCCTCCCGCTTCGGGTCGAAACACGCAGACAAGTACAGTTTCTTTGGATCGTTTGTCCATGATAACCGGAGGGTTGTGTCGTATTCGTCGTTGAGTTGGACGTAGGGTATGCCTTCTTCGTCTTGTGTCTTTCCCTCGTTTGTTGTGTTGGGAATAAGCCGTAGCTTTTCTAGAATGGTTGCAAACATCTGCATGTCGGTGTCGCAGCGAGGTTATGGTGGCACAGTGAGACCGGAGTCACTGTTAAGGAAGTGCTTTGGTTGCGCAATCTTGAAAGTAGACTTGTGTTATGCAGAGAGACCCTGACCGGTTACAACTTGCGGACTTAATAGGGAAGTACATGCTCAACTGACGTATATCGAGGCTTACACGGTGTAGACAAATCGTTTTGCTTTTTTCTCGTACCAGATATTTCGATACCTACGTGTCAGTACAAAGACGGGTGATCACGGCGCTATATGTGACGACTGCATGATAGTCACAATACAAAGGTCTCACCCAATCGTAGCGCTCCTAATCTACTATTTCGGATCCATTTACGAAAGTATAATCCACTTTTCAGTAAATGCGATCTCGGGTACGTATCCGTGTACCATAACCGCACTGTCAGATGCCGCGGGGCCGGTCGCGTGAAGATCTGAGTATCATCAGGGTCATGTTCCAGATGGATGGGTCAAGCCTTTAGATATCTTACAGCGCATGCAATGAACTCTGCTGTTTCTTCTCCAGATGTCATGGCTTGATGACCGCAACTCGGTCTACGAGACTCGCCGCCACTGCTTACATGATGGGAAGAGGTTGCTAGCAGTTATCGTCATCGGGCACCACGGCTTGAAAGCTTCGCTCGTTCGATCATGAACCCAACCTTGCCACTTCGCAACCAAAGCACATATCTACGGCGAGGTCACTGGGGTGGTATGACCAAGAGACAAGATTGCGCACATTGGGCCCAGTTGAAGATACAATTCCTGAGCCCCTGACATGCGGCCCCAATTTCCTCTTGGGCTGACACGGGGCTAAATCGCGATGTTTTTGGTACGTGTGGTAGACCACTGCGGGGTTCACTGGTACTTTTTCGGAGACTTGATGTCAGAGTCATTCGAAGTCTCATACGTGTCAGTTGATGAGTGGCAGAGCATTGTAGTGCATCGCACTATCCCATGTCCTAGGCCAGTGTGATCAACGAAGTTGCCGCCGGTGTTGTGGGTGTAGTTCAGGAAGCAAGTCAGTGTTGGAGAAGCTTTTTCACCCTGACGATACCCTGGGAAGACAAACGACAGGAAATGTCCACAATCACTTGCGCCCAGTCATCGGCATGAGTATGAGTGACGTGGAAGAAAGAAGACATGGAAGAAGAATTCTATATCATAATTTAGCATAGTTGACAAAATGAGAATGAAGACGCCAGAACGCTCATCGCTGATGCAGAGCAATGCAGTCGTCACATGAACATAACCCCCCATCAGTCTGACAGCCATCCACTCTTCTCTGGAACGCCGACCTAAACTTTCCCACATGTCACGCGCGCTTGTATGGCATGATCCTCACGTCCACAGCCACTTGCGGCAACTCTTCGCCCCGCAAAGACAAGGAAGCGCCCCCTCACCCGGCTCATCCATCTCCTCCCCCTCTTCCTTATCAAGGTAGTCAAACGTCAATTCCTCGCCCTTTGGAATGAACCTTCGTGCAAAGAACGCGATGTCATAGACTCTTGGATCATGCTTGTTATAGGAGACAGTGTACTGCCGGCAATTTGGGTCACACGAGTGGTTGATGAACTTTGTTGGTCCGCCCATGAACTCGCCGTCCACAACGTAGAGGTCTTCTTCTTTGAGGCCTTCTGACTCAGCAAACTTGTCGAGCGAGTACAGATAGGAGGCTTTTGCTTTTGACGACGAGGTTTCGCGACGCGTGGCCTCGGCATCTGTTATGACTTCTCCGCGGTAAGTGTCAATGAATTGGCCTTCGTGGAGATCTTGTTTGCAGCGGAGACCCCAGCCACGCCCGTCATTCGCTCTAAATATTTCCACTTCGACCTGACGCCCGAATTGAACGTTCTTGTTGCGACAATTGGGGCCGCAGTTGCACTTATCATTGCACTCGTAGATTGGACGACGGGAGTTGAGGTAAAAGGGTACGAGACAGCCGGTCTTCTCTCGTTTCGTGCCCTCGGCGAAGTAAGGGAATTTCTTCGGAAAGCCCATTGTTGAATCTCCGTTTTCGAGCGCAAGTTGGTATTCCCGCTTTCTTTCTTCATCGAGGCGGCTCTCATCCACTGCAGCGTATTCCAGACAGTCACACTTCTTTGTGTATTCGCATCCGATGTTACGACCCATGTGGGATGAACACTGTTGGCAGCCTTGTTGTGTTTCTAATGACGCGCGGTAGACACCTTGTTGCTCATATAGGACGTATTCGGAGATGTATCGGAAGCGCAGTGAGGGAGTGGCTTTGTCAACCACATTGAACAAGTGAATGGGTTTGCCTGGTACTTTCGCTAGTCTCCGGACATACTCATTGCGGATGTACATAAGTGCTTTGTCGACACTAGAACGATGTGCAATGCGGTTCATCTCTGGCGTGGGCACGGTACGAATGTCAAGTTCAGGTATGTCTGAGCCCGAGGCCTGTCGCATGTCAGTGAAGCACATGAGGGGAAGCTCTCTATCAAGACTCACCTGTCTGCAGAATACATGACCATATTGATCGGCATCCAAAACGCCGTTGTATATGTCACTGGCTGGAGACGTGACTGTTGCTGCAGATGACACGGATGAAGATCGAGAGGCTGACGGCGTGCGACTCTCTTGTAGTCGCCGGTCGAATGGTGAAGAGCGGCGTTCGTACGATGAACCCCCATCAGGACTCTTTCTTTTCCTCGAAGGTTTTATGTCTGAAGGTAGCGGTAGGTTCCTAGATAGGTTAGTAACATGCCGAAAGCTAGTACTGAGATGCTGCCTACTTCTCCCTCACTTCGAGGTAGTCCTGAATCTGCTCTAGGCATCGCACCAAGTCCTTAACTGAGTGCCAGCTGAGCGGAGGTTTCGTTGTCGACGTGTCCGACGTCCAGCGTACCAGATACTGCTCATCCTAGACCCTGATATCAGCATCGCGCACGGACCTTTCAGAGTGAAGGGACACTAACGCCGTTTTGAACGCGATTTGACACAATTGAGTGCACCTAAAGATAGTTTTAGTATTAAAACGCGTGCAACCGATGTTCGGAATGTACTTACGCGGTCTACTAGGACACGGCGCCTCTCGTGTCCGTTGGCCGGGATTACGACCATGGATGGCATCCCTATGCAACTGCATCGCGTTAGCCTTCTCTCTCGGCTTGCCCGCCATGTTCAGGATCTTTTGTGATAGAGTCGAGCTGTGCTTAGAAGAAGTGCCGCGTTGCTAGATAACTAGGTGGGCTGTGCCGCCGCATAGGTGACAAACAGGTTACATACCTAGAAGACAGTAGACTAGCCGGCAATCCTAGATTCTAGCAATACTAGTACGTAGAAGAGATTACTAACGTAGATAGTTTTTGTTAGATGTCTTTCCTTTACGCCGTTAGAAAAGTGAAGTTAGGCACCTAGGTAGCTGCTAGAGTTAGTGCGTAACTGTAACTAACAGCAAGCAATGCTTAGTAAGCACAAGCACATACAATCTAGCTACTAATGCGCCTTACCTAGTTTGTACTAGTTGATCTTAGAGCTCTTTATCTACCTAGGTAGCTAGCTAGCACTTTAATACCTAGTTAGTAAAAGTATAGATTCACAGTCCTTTTCGAATGTTTCAAAAGCCCTGCAAAAGGTTCGTACAAAGAAGGCATTTAGATGCCGCATTTTTTGTTACGCGTGACGCGTCGAAGTCGGTAGAATCCTAGGACAGGTCTCTTAGGCAATATCTCTAGTAACGCGCTCCAGAACGCGGACCCCAGAGTCGATGTATAGAACTTCTTCAGGCATAATTCTAGTAACAGGATTGTGCAGGGCAATCACTTGTCGTGCCTGAACTGCGCGTGTTCCCTCGAGTGATCCAACGTGCGCTAATTAGCATGTGGCGCAGCCATGGTGCCTTATCGCTATCTTAGCGGCATCCATGAGCCCTCCAAAAAAAGTTCGGCCCGCATGTCAGGCCTCAGAGCGAAGACATCGTCGCAACACAACGTAGCACATCATGGCATCAGACGCGCAAAATAACCCCTTCATCAGGAATCTCGCTTCCAGCGGTACGAACTCACAAGTCTTTGGAGTCACTGGATTACAGGCTAACGTTTGCGACAGACAAGAAAGTTCGCGACAATGCACTCGATTCACTCAAGACATACCTGGGCGCGCAATCAGAGATATCAGAACTAGACCTGCTGAAGCTATGGAAAGGGCTCTTCTACTGTACGCGCTCCTTGTGCCTTGGCCTAGAACACTCCTCCAAGGCACTTCGTAACCCATCCTGCAAAGGCTAACAATAAGCTTCTAGGCCTATGGATGCAAGACAAACCCGCCCTTCAACAAGGCCTATCGCGCGACCTCGCCTCCCTCGTCTCAGCTCTCCGAACCCCCGTCGTACTACCCTTCATCCGCGCCTTCTTTCTCACCATGTCCCGCGAATGGACCCGCATCGAAGCCCTCCGACTAGACAAGTACCTCTACCTCATTCGCCAATACGTCAACGCGTCCTTCACCTTCCTCAGCAATAAAAAATGGAAGAAGAGCCTGGTTGAACAATGGAATTCCGTTGTGGAAGAGACCCCGCTGGAGTGCGAGAATATGAGGATCCCCAATGGATTGAGATACCATGTCATGGATGTTTGGGTCGATGAGATGGAGAAGGTTGAGGGAGAGGCGTGGGAGAAGGAGGATAAGAAGGAGACGGTGGAGACATTAGTGTTGCCTATCGAGAGGATGGCCAAGGAGGGCAAGTTGAAGACGCTGAGGAATGCCGCGAAAGAGGTTTTGGCTGATGATAGGTTAAGAGCTTGGAGGGGGCAGGAAGTGGAGATGACAGAAGAGGCTGAGGATGACGAAGATTCCGAGGCGGAGTGGGGAGGCTTCGCAGACTGAGCACTATACCATCTGAAGGTCTGAGAGACACATTGCATATGATTTCAGCGAGGCGTTTAAGGAAGATTTGTCCTGCACATAGGGCATGGAAAAGTACTATAATTCGGCAAGCAATCTACAAGACATCGAACTTCAAAAGAGCATTGCAAGGAATTATGGTCCACTTCCATGGATTATCTCAGCTTCTCCACCGTCTCAGTCTTCCCGGGTATTAATAGTACCATCTAGATCAGATCAGCGGTACACTTTCGCCCGTTCCGCACACAATACTTACATCCGTCTCTCCTCCTCGCACCACCGTTACCCGTCTTCTCCTCCGTGTACCGACCGAGCAAATCCGGCCTCACGAAAAGTACGTACAACCTCCACAAAAGCGGCGGCACCAAACACGCCACACTGACAGCAGCAACCTTCTTACTCAGCGCCGCACCCGGCCCCCCTCCCTCCAACAGATCCAACACGATCATTGGGATCAAAGCCGCCTCCCCAAGCCCCAAGAGCATGTATGTAGGTCGTCGGCTCTCGATCCCATTGCGCGTATTGGTTGCGCCGGCGAGTAAAGCGGATGTTAAGCCGCCTACGATCAGGCCTCCGCACAGACGAGCAAACAGGACCGAAGTAGGATTGATATCGCGGGAGGGATTGTTGAGGAGCAGGGAGAGCGTCCAGCGCGTGTTTGTTATCAGCGGGATGGTGAAGAGGTTGGCGAAGGCTTCGAGGAGAAAGGCTTTGCGGATAGTGGAGCCGTTCTGAGATGGGTCGGGTGTGATGGTTGGGTTTGCGGCTGGGGATTTTGTTGTCGGCATTGTGATGGTTCAAAAAGTTGTTTGCGTAGGGCGAATGGGAGGTCTTAGGCGTGGATGTGGATTAGGGATTTGTTTACATGTATCCGGATGTGTCGATGTCGTAGTCCATATTCCAGTCTACTTGACTTGGCGTGACTAGTGCGGACGTCATGATTTCGTTACCCAAAAAGAAAGACCAAGGGAGCGAAATCGCCATTTTGATCATGCGGTCATGACAAAAGCCTAGCTGATCTTGGATCAGATGGATGCATCGGCCTCTCCTGACTCGCTTCAGATGTATACGCATGCAGGGCGCGTTGCATCCTGGTTAGTCGCGTCTCTAGTCAGGAACGCGTCCATGATCTTTCGAGGCCGAAACCTGACATGCAGTGATGCATCATGTGTGTCTATACATCTGCGCTCAAGTCATCTCGTTGGCCTGGTGAGTTTGCGGCTTGTGACGTGTGGTCTCCTGCTGAAGATCCGCGAGCTGGAGGCTGCCAGCACTCAACCATCGACGCATCGTTCAGATGCGTGGAAATGATTGCCAATGATCAATTTCAGGCATCTAGGTGTAGCGCTGGCGCAGTAGTGATAGTTATGAAGCTCGAGTGAAAGATGGGTTATGATGTCAGACGAGGGCTAACGGACCGACCAACCATAGCAGACCTCAGCTTTCTTGGACCGCCGGCTACTGACCGCCAAATACTTCCGGCAGTAATCTTTCGTCACCCACCACACAATTGAACGCAACTTTTGGGCCCATCATGGGTCGTCGACCCAACCAGTTGATTCTCGAGTACTTCGAGCGCGGACCCAAGCTGGAAGATGCAAGCAACCGCTACCAGCACACGTGCAAGTCGTGCGGCGAAAAGGTGGGTGACCCCGCTCCGCAAAAAAGTTGACGGTGTAGAGTGAGCAATAATAGCTTACACATCGCAGTTTCCCAAAGGCCGCATAGACAGTCTCACGAATCATCTCGTCAAGAAATGTCCCGCGTTACCGCTTCAAGACCGCCAGCGCGCGCTGCTGCAGATGCACGAGCTGCCACTCCCCGACAATATGACGCAGACGGCCACCACCAACGCACCCGGACCGAGCCAGATGCAACATGGCCAGAAGATGAACCTTCCTTTTGCGCCATCGAAGCAGCTGTCTGCGCTGGAGACGCTGGCGGAGGTGTCGCGACAACATCTGGACCTCTCTGGGAAGCGCATGGCAGAGAAGCAGCCATCGCAAGCGCACAACAGCCATGGCAACCACAACCATAACAATAATGCGAGCCATGCAGGGCTTCTGGAAGAGTTTCTGATACAAGATGATCGGCCCGATGGCTCTGATATGGGCGGCCTCTCACATGGGATGGACATGTCGCATGCGCCAGCAATGCCCTCCATGTACCAGTTCAATGGGTCGTTGCATCACTCTCCAACTGCCTCACCACACATGGGTCATATGCCTCTGTCAAGCTCTGGATCGATGTCGCACATGGTTCCATCTCTCGTCATGGCAGCATCAGCAGCGAATGACCTCATGCCTCTATCAAATGGTATGCCTATGGAGTCGGACATGAATCTTTCATCGCACGGTATGCAGGGTATATCAGACGGCAAGTTCTTCCATCCCCAAGGACGAGGACATTGGCCGAACATACAGCCCAACTCACTGGACCCAATGCTACAAGACCATGGCAAGGAGCAGATGCACGCGAACGACCAGTTAAATAAGGGAATGAGCCATCAACGACCACTTGCAATGAGCCCAGGCAACCAGACCCACTTCACCACCGACTTCAGCATGAACCAGAAGCCGGCCAAGCCCAAGGTCAGGGGACGTTTCACAGACTCCAGACGGAAAGAAGTACAGGAGGTGCGCAAGCGAGGCGCGTGCATTCGGTGTCGCATGCTCAAAAAGCCATGTTCGGGCGACAACCCGTGCAACACCTGTCAGAACGTCGAGAGTGCGCGATTATGGAAGCAGCCATGTATCAGGACAAGGATTGCAGAAGAGTTCGGTCTCTACTCTGCAGGTCTTCATAGCGTGTTAGCATTCCATGCAACGAATCAAGCCAAGGGCCAGATACGGCTCGACCAGACCCCAGGGCGCATAGAAGCAACCCACTTCCCTCATTCCGGTATCTTTGCTACTTTCACGCCATTGAAGTGTCAGCAGACGCAGACAGCGCAAAACGCGGACATCGATCCTGCGATCTTCGCTGGACTAGCTACTCCGGATCTCGAACTCATAGACAGTGATGACGATGTCAGTGGGAAGCTAGACCACTACATCAAGAAGATGGGTGGCCACTTTGCCGATACCGAAGACTCGAACTTCATGAGGATGACTGTACAGACCGCCAAGAGCGTTGCATCGTCAAGCGCAGATGGACTAATATCAAAGGCCCTAGAACTCTGGAACCTCACGCGCGTGCTCACGTCCCGGAACTTTGAATGGTTTCTCTTTTCCAATCCCTCGCTCGCGCCCACCATCACTCCATCTACATTGGCACCAGGAGATATGGAGGACGCCATTCGCACGCCCATCACGCCCCTCGAGCACGAATCTTCCTACAGCCTTATCACTACACAGCTCATGGGCGCGACAGAGAAGCGAGCCGCGTGTCTAGCACGCATCGTAATGAACGACCTGGAACGACGCCTCCTACAGCGTCAACAAGCCAATCCCTTCGAAACCTTCCTCGTCGCCGTCATCCTCCTTGCCTGTGTAGAGCGCATGTGCTGGCTGTTCCGCTCCTGGGAAATGCCGTCCACCAATCTACCCGCCCCAGAAGCCGACGACGCATTCAAGCATCCACCCAGCGCTGACAGCGATCTAGCCACAGCCCTACAATCTACTTCGTCACCGCCAGCCCCTCAACTAGACCTCCCTCCCCACCAAGCGCCCCGTAATCCTAGATGGCCGCTCGACAAGTCCCCCTCGCTTCTTTCCCAGCAAGGCGAGAAGTTCAGCGATATCCTCAATATGCTTCTTAAGATGCGCGGCGTCCCTCCTAAACCCACGCCCCGCAGTCCGGATGGCGTGCTCACTGTTTGGAGCGAAGACACGGCTGATAAAGTAAGGGAGTGGTATGATGGCATTGCTGTGACATTGCAGATGCTAGATCAGAAGGCAAATGCGCGCTTTGTAGGCGAGGATCCAAAGGAATGGGAGTTGAAATTTGTTGGCAAGATTATTAGGGGAGATTGATTGATTGTGTACGTGGGGTTTCAGCCTCCCTTGTTATGAGTTGATGTACTGGAAGAGATGAACTGTGTTGTCATGATGGATTGGAGGAAAGCTTTGTTGTGGGTGGATGCATGTGTGTGGGAGGACGACTGATTACGAATTGATACCAAACACGTTATGAGACATGTAGTTTGACATGGCTTCGTGAGTCGCGTTCGCGCGCTTCGAACGAAGAGATGTTGCTACCACGTAAACCCTGACAGAAATGTGGTGATCATGCTTGCTACGACAGATGGACTGTGCCATCGTGTCCGCACTTCAGATTTAGGGGTATGCAACTGCTCCTATAGTACGCCTGAACACCCAATCAGCGCATCACGCACGCTCTGTCTAATCTAAAAAGCCCAAAAGATGCCCGTATATACAACCCCATCCCACTCAGCTCTTGAGCGCCTCCAGCCGTCCCCGCATCTGCGCCAACATCTCCGCCTGATCCTCTTCCTCCTCCTCTTCCGCCTGCGGCGCAGCCGGCAACTCCTCCTCCTTCGTCTTACTCGGCGGCAACCGATCCTTCAGCACCTCACTCAACACCTTATCCACCTCCTCCTCAGCCTCATCCGCCTCCCCCTCCAGCATCTCATTCTCGCCCAGCGTATCATCCAGCATCTCCTCAATAATCCCCGCCTTCATAAGCTCAGAGCTAAGTTCGCGCATCGTGCCCGTCAGCTCGGGTAACCTAACCAGGCTATTCACGTCCTTCATGATGCCCGTGCTCGCCTTGATGCTGCCTTCTATTTTCCGCACCGAAAACGCCTCGTTGACTTGCATCTGCACGCTGTTGAGCTGCGCTTTGGACGTCATGAGGCGGTTGTTTTGCTTGCGGACGCGGATTAGCTCGCGGGCGAAGATGCGGACGTCTTGGTTGGCTTGCTTGGCCATGGATGGGTTGCGGGCGGCGCGTTTGGAGGATTGCTGGATGAGGGTTTTGGTTTTTTGTTCGGTGGCTTTGAGTTGTTGGATGTCGCGGTCGAGTTTGCGGACGTTTTGCCGGACGAGGGCGTTGCATTTGCGCTTCTGGGGGTGGGTTAGAGGTGGGTGGGGAGTGGAGGGGATGCGGGAGGGTAGGTACTTGTTCCTCCGGTGTGGGCTTCCACAGGAGACCTCTGATGGTCTCCATGGTGGGCGCTCAAAGTGGTGTGCGCTGCGCGATTGAATTGATCGATGCCTTATCGAGGTGTTGTATGCGCAGGTGGATGCGGATAACGCGGGTGTCGGTGAAGGTGTTCAGATAGCGCGTCTCGGCGACTTGTCTAATGTGGTTGCGGTGGAAGTGTGTTGGTACAATAGTGCGCAGTGATTTGTGGTGGAAGAACTCATGTGCACGTGTAAAGGTCCCGAGGCGTTGTTCGGGTGCCTTGCAACCGCTCCAGGATCGAGCTCGGGCCTATTGTGACGTTGAGCTCTTTCGCGGGGCAGTCGCAACAACCCACTAGCCCCCAAGCATCACCCAGCATTGCCTCGACGCAGCACTGGGAGAGGCAGCAAGGCGCATCCAAGACACCTATCGAATCTGCCGCTGCATCTTCCTGCGAGTTGCTTTCCGTAATTGATCGTCCAAAACCGGGGCCCTCAACTCCAAGTTTCCATAGAGCTTCTATTGCTTTCCACGCTAGTCCCTCCACATACTGCATTTCTTCCACCTTCAATCTGCTTCGTCAACACAAACACTACACCACAGCTACACACCACACTCCCCGTAAAACCACTCCCACGTCCTGAACGACTCTCCGAACTCGATTGGAAACATCAACAGACAACTACCACCCTCAACATGT